TCCAGCAATTCCAGTCATATTTGGTTTCTGGAGTACTGGATGAAGGGTGCTGTGATGAATGAATTTTGCATAGGGAGTATTCCTATTTTCCATAGACCTGAATAAAAGCCAATTATAATTAGTGGGTGATTAAATATATTTCTTAGGGTGGATTTTCGAACAGAGCATTTTTTATTTTGCACGATTCTTACTCGGATTTTCACCGAAGTTTCGTTTCGACTATTAGATTTATTTTATGCTTGACTGAATTAAAAATGCATCACCAGTTTTGGATAAAGATTAATGAGGTAAATTTTTGAGTTTCCTGTCTCAATAATATTCACGTGAGAGTAAATAATCTGGGGAGAGAAAACGCAAATACTTTCAGTCGCTGAATCACCATAAGTTTTTGTTCTTTTCCATGTGCAGTTCAGCGCAAGTGAGGGCATACGAAGATTTGAGGGGAAAATACCCTTCAGCTTGGAACCACAAAGGCCAACGCGAGTACGAACAACTGCGCTACGTCATGGAGAAGGACGGCTGGTGAGCCTTTTGCGGGAAATTTCGAGGAAGAGGGAAGAAAAACTGACGAGAGAGAAGGAAACGGGAAACCTTGTGACTCTCACTTATTAATTTGAAAGAAATTATGAAAACCAATGGGACTTTGAAGTTCTGTATCCTAAGAACTACAGAAACAAATGTCGATGTTGGTCAGTTCAGCGCAAGGTATGCTCAATACGACAACCATGCGCATTGCTGACGGCACGGAAGCGTACAGTATGTTGCTCATCACGCCACCCAGCAACTCACAGTCAATTTCAGTCTGTTATTGCTGGCTTCAGGACTGGCCGGGTAGATCTCTTGAACAGATACCTTTGGGTATCCCCAAAGGAAAAAGTCACATGGGTTGATGTCAATGTCGGGGCTAGTTGGGGACCACGAAAAATCACCGTTGAACATGTGTGGATAGCGGTTTGAGATGACGCGCTCACGAAATTTAATGTGTTAATGGTTTTTTCGCCATGTTGATATGCGAATATCACGTTAGGATTGCCAACTGCACAAAAAAGAAAACTTTGAAGTCTGTTCTATTTAATGGTATGAGAGTCGTCGTGATAGCTTTGTACATGTAGTTATATTATTTTTAGATGGTAACTAATTGACTGATACACCCTGTATTTCTCAAAGATTGGGTGAACGAGGCCGTAGAAGCGACTAATAAAAATAGGAATTTTTATGCATAATAAATGTACGTCTTTTGAAATGAATTTCAAATAAGCACGACCAAAGCAATGTACTACGCAGCAACAGAAAAATTAGTGAATTATAATAACAGAATACTGCACTTTCCTTGCTTAACGTTTCTTAGAAAAGTCATTAAAAGCTTTACGTCCTCAGTCCTACGTAGAAAGAGCAAGGCTCCGGTGGGATCACATCCTCAAGGTAATAAGAGATGGCAATGGGGAATCAGGACGAGCCATAAAGACAGGCATTTAAAAGCATGCTGTGCCATGCCTGGCCTAGAATAAATTCTTTACATCTAATATTTTTCGAATAATGTTGAGCTTGCTAATTAGAGTAGAAAGCAATTTACATAAGCCATAAACAGAAAAAACACTATTTTTTTTAAAATCTTCTCCCTACATACATTTCAGGGCTTCAAGGCTTTCCCAACCATGAGAAACCAGGTAATATGCCTTCAACATGGCATTTCGAAATCGCTAGAGCAACACAATGACTTCCTGATTTTCCTCAACAGAATGCAGGAACCCTATCTACGTTCATGGAGACTGTACTTTAGTACCATGTAGGTTGAAACTATGAAATATGGAAGTTAACTGCACCCAGGGAAGCATGACACCATTATTTTTCACAAAGGGGAAAGCCTCAGTGTACTTCTAGGGTTGATAGTCATGGAAGTATTCCTATTTATGAAAAAGTTCTTCCTCACTTCAATAGCATGGCTTTCATTAACGTATTCCTCATGTGCATATTTTCATGTTGAGTCAAATTATGCCTTCTCAACATTTCTGGTCAGGGTTCAACCTTGACATTGATTGATGATGCAAACTTCTTTGCTTTCTTGGTAAATGTGAATACAACCGACTCAAAGCCTGTAGACAGAATGGGATAGGAAATCTGAAGCATTTTACCTGACTTTGATGTCATTTAAAATTCATTCATCTTGTCTGAACCTTCTTGATGCCACAATGGGGGATCAAGATTACATATGACAAGCTTGCATCCCTTAAGTGGCCCAAAATAATGACAGCAGTTTTGCATCTCCCATGAAACCATAAACAAAAGCAGTGGTTCTCAACTGGTGTGCCATGGCACACTGGAAGGCTTAGGTGTGCCACCAAAAAAAGGTTGAGAATCGCTGAATCAGAGTATATCCAGCAAGTATGAAGCAGTAACTGAACCTATTCAATGAATAATTGGCATTGAAAGCAATATCAAATTCATGAGAAAAATAAAGAGTAAAACAGTGATCTTGAAGCCAAATTGGTCTGTTTAATAACCATCTTCATTGTTGTTGTCCCTCATCACAGGCAAAATCTTCCCAAAGAGGAATTTTACAGCATTCCAAAGCACAAATAATTCACCTGGAGCATGTCAAGTTCAATACATGTTCACCATGTTTGCAGATCTTGGCTTTTGGATCTTCTCTATATTCTTGGTGATGAAATCATGAAGTGTGGCATAATGATTTCTAACTTCCATGAGGATGAGCCTTAGACTGAGGTATTCCTTCTCATCGAGCTCCTGGACATTCTTTCGATAGTCCTCAATGTGTGGATACTTGGCTACCTAAATAAGAGAGAAGAAACCAACTATGACAAGATTCCAAGCAAGTTGAAATTTTAACTTATGTAGGGCAGGAATATCTCTTATACTGAATATAGGAAAAATCAACAAAACATATACATGTGAAAAAAGCAAACCATCATGGTTTAGAATATCTGAGACCACATAGTTCCAAATCAGCTGGTCTGATCTGAATGTCCACATCACCTGTCAGGCAAGGAATAAGAACTGTTCTGCCCTTGGGAGGCACTAACAGCTGTCACAATAGGCTCATGATTGGGCCATGCAAAAATAAAATACCATAGTTCTGGAGGTTTTGCAAGGTTGGTGGACTAATGAAATGAAAATACAGATGTTAGCACTATCAAGCACCTTGTCAGAAATATAAACTATTGCCTGGAGCTATTTTATTCTCTCACACCACACTGTCATACTGATCACTTTGAACCAGATTTAGCCATTTTCTGCTGCAGCAAACATGCTTACAAGCATGAATGCAGTTGATATACTGGGTGCATTCAGTTGTGACCTCAGTCATGATTCGAGGGTCTCAGTTCAACACTTGCATTGAGGCTTCAAAATAAATTTTACTCCATGGTGACACCTCTTGTCAATGTCATCAATCCTGGGAATAATAGTTTTTGAAAAGCATCACACCTGCCAAGAATCATGAACTTCGAGTCATGACCCAGGTCACAACTGAATGCACCCACTACAGCAATGACAACCTTGCTGGTTCATCAATGCCAAGAATAGTAGGTTGAGATTCAAGAGCAAAAGTAAGCAAAATAACTTCATAAAAATGCAAGGGAAACATAATAGCTGACAGGTTTTTGAAAGATTGATGGTTACCTAATATTTAAAGGGCATAGATGATCTAAAAAAAATGGTTTGAAACTTTTCTGTATACTTTAAAAGTTACTCCATTGTATATCTGCATGAATTCTGATCATTGTTCAAGCTGAAGAAAGGAGTCCTTTTTTTTCATACTCCAGGACAAGAGCAACTATTACTTAATCCTCACAAATTCTCTTCAGAGGGTTCATATTAAACAACAAATAGATCATAGGCCACTTAAAAAATACAGTACTTTACTTTGTCAACCAGGTCAAAGAACTGCAAGAGACTACACATGCACAAAAAGAAATATTAAAAAACCAAAGGCACATAGTACAAAGTCAAATACCAAGCAAATTACAGAGAAATACATACCTTGGAAATGATCTTGCCTCTTGTGCAAAAATACTTTGAAATCTGGTCATAAAAGGCAGCAGCTTCTGACTCAACGACTCGGATCTCGGCCAATGTGTCCTCTTGAATGGAGACACCAAAGTTGTTCCCATCCTCAATCTTGGGTATGAGGAAGGATACCCAGATCTTCAGCTGAAAATATATGCAATGTTTGCTCAGAGAACAGAAGTCATGGGAAAGCAACTATAAGGAAGTAACTCCATATGCCTGCAGTATTTCATAGATATGAAAATTGAACCTTTATTTTCAATTCAGGATCATTCCCTTCATGAATCCACATAAAGCAAAAAAATAAAAGACTGAATGACAGTATTTCAGGGCCACTTTGCTCAAATTTGACAATAATGTAGCTTTGCTTCTTTTGCTTCAGGGTTGAAAATGTTGAAATTCATCAATTCAAATAGAAGTCATGATCAATTGTGAAGTCTAAAATTAAAATAGATGGCAGCTCCTGTGTTTAAAAAATGACTACAAAATACATTGAACTCCACTACTAGGATGATCTGCAATACTTGTACCACCACTGGTATCACTAGTAGCAATCATTGGTATGGTGTGTCATTGGTGCCATTGGCAGGTTTGCAAGGTGCCAATGCTGATGCCGAAGGAAGAATGTGCTGAATAAAGATAAAGGATTAAAAAAGTGCAAATGAATGCTGCTTGGTAAATAGCAACAGGAAAAGTAAGGCAGTCATGATGCATCTATTGATGTATAAATGTCACTATCAATAGTTGGAGGCATTGTTGAAAGCCACATCATCCAATCTGATGGTCACACTCCATTCCTATTATGGACGATGGGTAATGAAAGACAGAAGTAAGTCCATGCTTCAAGTGAGGCAAGAAACAGAAGTGAAACCTTCCCCTGATGACAAAGAGAGATTACTGAATCTAAAAGCACCCTCCTCCCCTCCATGATGCATCAATAATGACAGTCTGAACAAAGTGGAACATGGCTTCCTAATAGACCTACAGTAAAAACTTGTTAACTTGAATCCTGTTAAGTCGAAATTCACTCATCTTGAAGTTCAATGCTTGGTCCCAGCTGAATCCCATAAGACACTGTGTTAAATATCCCATTTAACTTTAATTCACTTACCTCTAATTCTCGGCTATCTTGAACAACATTTTCACTCCTGATTATGATTTTCTCATGGTTAACTTGAAATTGGGGTGTGAAGGGGGAAAAACTAATGTGGGACCTATCAATTTGTTGAGTAGGTGAAAGGCAAGAAACCTGTTTGGGAGAAAATCCTTTTCTTTCTTTTTTTCTTCTGCTTTCCCTCCTCCCTCACAGATGCCTGTGGAAAGGATTAAAACTGAAAAGCTTCTACTATAAATAGAAGCAACCTCTAGCACTTTCCCTGTCTGTCTATTGCTCTCACGTCCAGCAATTCCAGTCATATTTGGTTTCTGGAGTACTGGATGAAGGGTGCTGTGATGAATGAATTTTGCAAAGGGAGTATTCCTATTTTCCATAGACCTGAATAAAAGCCAATTATAATGAGAGGGTAGTGCTCCTTGAAATTGGATCCTCAAGGATGGAAAAATCAACCTATTATATCCCTTAACACGAGAATTTTTTTTTCTTTTCATGGGTAAAGGCAATTCCTGATAAGTTGAACTTCAGATAACTCAAAATGATTTGCCCAGTCCCCAAAAGTTCGAGTTTTTGCTGTATTTGAATAAGTATCTGAACACAATTAGTCAGTGGTTAAATGTGGCCACTGGTACAGTCCAAAACTTTCAAATGGGCTAGTTTTATAAAAGCATCATCAACTATGAATACTACCTTTTTGGATTATTTTACTTCAAATATTTGAGAAAATAAAATCAGAATAGGGAAGGATTTAAAGCTCTACCTCCACCTATTGGCCTTGAACCACTGACTTAATTACTTCATTACTTAATCAGGAGCAAGAATCTAGCCAAAGTGGATATTTTGTAAATAGGTTTCTGTACTTAATTGCAAGCAGGTAGAGATGCACAGTGGACAAAAACAAGATAATTAATTTTCTTACCAGGTTAGCATCTTCAACAAGTTGTCGCACCAGGGGTTTAACAACATTTATCATTTGCACTATCTCGTCATTAGCAGGAACAGTTCCACAGGGCAAGACATACACATTTGTTCCTGGTACAGTGAAAGAACATTCCATTTTGTCCAGCTTTCTTGTCCCATCTAAGATCCTGCAATATAGATGAACACATCATTACAGGAGAAAAAACAAACAAAACATTTTCCATTATGCTGTCCAGCATAATGGAAATATGGAATATAGTACAATATGGAATGAAATATAAGATGGTTTCACCTGTTTCACAAGCCCAATAGAATGCATCATATGCAATCCCACATATTAAATGCACTAATTAATAATTAATAATTAGTTCAGGACCAATAAATTGAATTGCAGGGTGCTGCTGTACAAGTCTTCATGTGAATAGCACCACCAATTGGAGACAGGCTGACAGCAAAGCAACAGAACTTATCAAGCCCCTGCTGCATTTTGAGGAAGGAGCAATGCAAGCATCAGCATCAAATTTTATTACAAACGTTGGAAAACTGCATCAGATAGCCATCACATATTGAAGATACCTTTTAATATTCCTGGTATCAACATCTTCTCTATCGATTGCTTTCAAATCATGCAAAGCATTCAAAAAGTTCAGGAACACGACATGTGCCTCACAATGTTGCCTTACTGCCAATCTATCTCACATTTGCCATACAAGTCACTAATGCAAGACATGAAGACTTGCACAGCATAACTCAACAGTTCAATATGTTAGCTGTGGGATAGGAATACTTAAAACGCTGTCACCATTCTAAAACCTGAAATTCAACACCCAATTTCAAGCTAAATTAGACCTGGATAGTTGACCCAAAACAAACAAGATCCAGAATACTGGTTATTCCATAAAATAGCTATATATATATATATAAATATTCAGCTTCTTTTCAGAAATCTCAAAAGCCATCACTTATGAATGACTTCTAAGTCATCTTAGACTTTTTTTTTTTATCAATTTAAAAGATAGGGAGGGATAAACCCTCCACAAAACCCTCTCATGATCATGGGTGCTGTAGCATATATTCAGGGGAGGAGGGAGGGGAGAGGGTGAGCACAAGAGTGGGAAAAAGAGAGAGAGGGAGAGGTCACAGAAGAGTGTCATGAGTAGGGTTTTCATCAACATAACGAGTGTGCTTTGTGTAACTCTATGATAAAATACTACCACACCCATGATCAAGCACCAACCTTTCCCCTGGCTTCCACCTCTTTGATCTCCTGAACCATTGGGATGATTTTGACAAGGAAAACACCATAGTAACAAAGAAATCCAGAATTATTCCTTGGCGTATTCTGAATAGAAATGAGACAATACTGGATGTGATTGTTGGTGGTCCCATATACACAAGAGGAAATTTTCCTGACTCAGCCTGGGATTGAGTGTTAATTGTAATACCTCATGTAAGGGTCAGCCAGTAAAGCCTTCACCTTCAGTAAGAAGAGATTCAAATGGAGAATAAATAAGAAAACTGAGAGCAATCAAACTTACATGATTGTTATCTAACTCAAGAATTGACAAAGAGACCTTCAGATAACCTTAACCTTAAAAATAAAAAGTTGTAGTTTGAGACCCAACCCATTTTTTTGACCAAGAGGCTTTGAACCCATTTTCCCCTTCATATCTTGAAATACCAAGTCACAAAATTGTAACCAATGTAGTTATTCCTGCCCTCCCATCTTTGGTGTTATTAAAGAAATAGATGAGCTGGAATTTTTCTCCAAGTTTCCTGCTACTTTTTGAATGCAACAGTTTCCTTATAATGTTTTGGAATAATAGTTGTATTTCAAACCACGAATGGACACAGGCTATTGCATGAAAATTGAAAAAGAAGAACAGTATGATTTCCCCCCCTCTCTTTATGTTTCAAAACTGCCAAAGCAATGCTTTTATTAGCAATGGTAACAATCAGGTTGGCAATGACTTTTGGGGTAGTAAAAGATTGCAAGGCAGAGCAGAAACATCATCATTTAAAGAGGTGTAGCAAGTGAAGAGATCTTGGGACACTCACGGTTGAAAAAAGTCTGCTTGAGGGACTGGAATCTTAAGATCAGAATGAAGGGAGAGTAGATCTGGAATGTTGAATGCTTTAGATTGCAGAATCTCATTCAGCCTCACTATCCTCTTGGGGAAACCATCCTTCACCATTTTTTCCCCCTGAAAATTCGAATGCACATTTCAGCTTCCTGCAAGATAGAGCGGACAATTTTTTCTTAACCAGTGCCTAATAGTGACCAACTGAGGGTCAACTCACCTCTTTGATCACCTGATCTCGGTAATCTTGGACCTGCACAAGAGTCAAAACAGGCATCAAATAAAATCAAGTTCATGGGCAAAATCCTTGGTTTAGCTTATATTTAACACATGAAATACTTACCTTCTTCCCAGGATCCTGCATATCTTCCATATTTTGTCTTCTCTTGTCAAGAAACACTCAGACTGGAGAAGAGGAAAATGCTAAAAACACAGCACCTTATCAAAGTTTTTTGAAATTCCAAAGTGAACACAAATGTTGTACCTGGAAAAATAAAATAAGATGCAACACATGTAAGCCTGTAGCATTAACCCTTTCGCTGTTTAAAAAAAAAGCCCTCACAACCTCCACTGTGTTATAAGAATTGCGCTGTGTCTCTGCAAAACAATGGTTTAAGTTTAAATTGTCCCATCTTGAAAACTATTGATGATAGACCAAAATGTGTTAAAAAATTATTTCCAGAAGAGAAACAACCTAAAAGGACTGGGTTTCAGAGCCCAAGTACGTACTTGGGCTACCACCGTGAAAGCGTCGCGTGCAGCCCGAGTACGTACTTGGGCTAACAGTGATAGGATTAAGCCATACCTCAACAATTCTTTTCTCAAAAACAGGTGAAATAGAAAGGAAGTTCAAGTTTGGAGCTGCCACATGGCTTCTTAGTGTGGAGCAGGTTAGGAAAACCCTTGTGAACCAGCGAACGAGGTTCATGGGAATGAAGATGTGTGGGTAGGAAGGGCCTGCCTGGTCTGCTTAGTGTTCATGGGGAAAAAAACTTTTTTCCTACACTGGTGTGGGGATTCCTAAGTGCAGCCTAAAGGTAGCCAGACACGATAAACCAGTTTCGTGAAAATAGATGAATCTAGATTCATTGAAACTAGTTTCTGAAGTTGACTCCTCACACATGTGAGGTTCAGTTTCCCAGTGTCTCACCATGTCTAGACAAAGTGACTTAGTGCTGCTGCTGTGTGCAATTACTGGTGGTATTTCAGCAGCACTCATTATTGCGCAAGCAAGTTGTAAAAGATAAAGTAAAAAAAGGAAGTCTTGGATGAAAAATTGGAGACATGCACAGTTATGGTTCATTAATTCAAGACCTGCAATCAGATGATCCAGAGTCCTACATCAACTTTCTGTGGGTGAGTCCACAATGCTTTGAGGAGCTACTGGATATGATTAAGCCAGCCATCAGCAAACAAGATTCAGTCATGAGAATGGCTATACTGGCAAACATTTGATTTCAGATGATCCAAAGATGATCCAGGTTAATGGTGTTATGGAATCCCTCAGAAATATCATCTGACCAAGCCATTTCATTTTTGGCTTCTATACTGCATCTACAGAGGTGCCTGATTTCTTTGAGGCTTCTATCTTTTTCCACTCCTTCATAAAGTAAACCCTCATAGAGTGCCATTTCTTTTTCATTGAAAGAAAAATAGAAAAGCTGCAAAACCAAATATTAGTTTCATAAAACTGAGAAACTGATTTCGCAAAACCAGTATTTTGGCACACACTGTGAAAATATCATGAAACTGGTTTCCTGAAACCAGTTTAGTGAAACTGGTTTCTCATGTGTGGCCGCCTTAAGAGCCCTTGAAGATAGTTAATACTTCAAATTTAATGTCAATTGTTAAGATCTTGGTCTTGTAATCCTTCGAATCATGACCAGTTTTCATTTATGAAGTATATCAACATTAGGCCTACCTAAATGTTCCAATTACACAGATTTCAATGAGGAAGTCCAAGGATTATTCTCACAGTTGACCTGAAAACTTTCAACAACAAAAAATCAATGGAAAATAGACTAATTCAAATAACTTGGGTTTCATGCATTCTTCTGGTTAGGCCCACATACCTACAACTATAATGATTCTAATAATGATGACTGGGCTGCCACTTGTATAAAGTTTTCTCCTTTGGAGAATTTCATTATGGATGACCTTTCATTTTTGATGAGATTCCTTAAAGAAGCTGCATCCACAAAGTTAAGCATGCTAAGCACTGACGAGCCAATCACTGCACAACCTATATCAAAGCTTTATGAAATTCTAAACACCAGATCAACCACAGTGAAATGACATCATTCGTGACCATTCAAGCTACAGAAGTTTGCCAGCTGTTGGGTATCCCACAAACTAATGTAGGCTTAAAAAGAGGTCAGGGTTACTTGAGAAAGGCAACTTCTAATCAAGTTATGGCATTCCTGGATGGTTAGTTGCTGTTTTCTTGCAGTTTTGAGGCTTACTGAAAGTGGTGCACATATAGTAATGTACTACAACAAATGCCAATTGGTATTGCAAATTGTGCCAGCCTCAACTCTTTCAGATTTTGGAAGATCAAAATCGTAAGTCAGGTCTGAGGAGAATCCAACTGCATCACAATAAAAGTGCCCAGATTGCTGCTCACAAAGGCATTCAGTTGGTCAATCCTCCACTGTGTCCCCCTGATTCAACCCCATGTGGCCTTCATAGATTCCCCTAAACAAGATGGAGCTCAAAGGACATACCTTCAATAGTGACGAAGGGGTCCTTGCAGCACTGGAAGCTGCCTGAATGAAGCTGTTTCTCACAAATTGCAGCAACTAATTCCGGAAATGGTTTTTTGAGGATGAAGCATGTATATTGTCTTGTGATCAAAACCCTGAAGAGCTGAAGTTTTTATTTTTATATTTAAAGTAGTTTGCTTGTTAATAGAGGTTTCAGGCAAGAAACTTTTGGAGCGGCCCTCGTAGGTCTATTCCCAAACGTTGTGACTGAAGGCTCGTCCCGAGATAAGCCTAACGTTAGGCATATGTGGTCATTCCATTGTGGTCCTTCTCATTTAAGCGCACCAAGTCATGTCAATCTAGTCCAAGCCTAGAAATGTAACATAAACCTAAAATGGGTGAATGTGCGTCGCACTGACACGAGTCCGCATACTTTATCTATGCGGATCTGAGTGCCTGACGATCACGTCGTCAACCGCCATCGAGCGGTCCCCTGCGATACCTCATTCCTCGACACGGATGCCACACATCCACTCCATTTCGAGAGGAAAACAAAGGCCATGGGATTTTCCAAGGACAGAAGTCTGGCACCCCAACTATCACTTAGATTCGTAGGTCTAGAATCTTACAGAAGTATAATTTCTACGCCCTCCCTGATGCAAGTCTATTTGCCGAAATCTGTCAAGAGCTAGTCTGTGTTTTGAATGCTTCGTACTTTTCAGTATCTTGAATATACAGTATATCAGGACATATATCATCCTCGAAAGGCATGACCGTACCTCGAGATGCATTCAAAGTACCTTCCTTGTCGAAACGATATCAGCAGCTTTCGACTCTTCACTTCAGAGCCCGTTGGAGCTCCACGTGGCGTATTTTACGGGGGGACAGCGGGTGCCCCCCCCCCCCCCCGACTCCTCAGCCGAAATACGCCACTGGAGCCCCAGGGAAATGGGTTCCATAGGTATTGCTCTAGGTCGGTTTCTGCTAAGTACTTCTAAAGCTCTGTATTGAATCGTACGAGAGGAAATTTGTTTGTGAAAATTGCGAAAAGAAAGAGTTCCCGATTTTGGAGCTTATGCGTTAATTTAGACGTGCGCTACGAGGAATTTGTGTCGAAAAGATCATTCTGACAAAAGTTCCAACTATGGGTTGCTATTGCTCTTCATAAGATTTATTTTTTTTTTACCATTTTTTGGGGGAATTCTAGTTCATCAGAAAAAAAGAGTATTCATTTCTCGCGCTTCTAGAAACGTTTCTAGGATTCTTCTTGGAAGGTTAATGTTGTTGGTGTTTTTATTCGTTTTATTACTTCCGCTTTGACTGAAGTCAACGAGGGAGTAACTCTAAATCCCAGGAGATTTCCATACATGAGTCGTATTGACAAAGGAGGGTATAATCAGAAAATCGCAAAACAGGACTACGTACATAAACGTGTTTACGATAACCTTGCGATAACACGGGAATACAGCATATGGAGTCGATGAAGAGCGTGACTACGCGGTAGCTCCGCATTTCGTAAAATGACCTTCCCTTCTGGCGTTTCACAACAAACGACGAGGACACTTCACTTCAACTTCCTTGAATGCCGCATATCGACCGTCTGCGGCCCAAGCCACTGTCGGGCTGGCCTGGGCGGCGAACGAGGTTTACTTAGACGAGCTGTGATTTCACTTTATCGTGTTAAAGTGTTGCTGCTGGAATCTTGCTTTAGTTAAAATTCAGTTTCGGATCAACTCTAGCTAACGACAGTGGCGGATACAGAAATTTTTCATAGGGGGGGCTGTTCCCTGGTTCCTAGTTCCTACCTAACACCCCCCCCCCGGCCTTCCAGCACTCCCTGTTCTATCGCCTTTTTTATTTCTCGTCTGTGGTAAAAACCTGAATATCTATTTCACTGGTCCTAATAAATATTAATGTAGAAGTTATAAGACATAAAAAATATATATATAATGCTAACCTAGCCACAATGGGGGCGGTCGCCCCCCCCCCCCCCTCCCTGGATCCGCCACTGGCAAACGGGAGTCTTCTAAAGTGGGGATAAAATACTATTCATCGAGTCCCCGTTAATTGGATATAAACTGAACAGGAGTCAAGCTGAAAATAGATTTGCAAATGTTCTTAGAATTTCTTGATAAACCTGGCTCCTAGTTAAAGACCTGTCCGTTCTTTGGCTCCCATTCTTCGCGGATAGGAGCCCCCGAAGGCACTGTTCGTTCAATTTCAACTTGGCCTGTTTCAGTTAGCAAGACATGAACTAAAACAGGAAAAGTGATTTCACATTTCCAGTTTATTTACACTGAAATCACAGAAGGTCTCAACTTTCGTCGACCCTGGTACCTCTCGTTCTCTTGCTCCCATCGAACAGGAAGAACCTACCACGCTCTATTCTTGCGTATTCTTTTAATTATCTTGAATGTCCGGATGAGATTGTCCCTCCTTAACCTTCTCTCTCGTACAGTCCCAGCACTTCTAAACGCTTCTCGTACGGAAATCCCCTAACCTATTTCATCGTTCTTGTGGCACTCTTTACTCTATCGAGCGCCATCAATTCACCCTTATTTGTAAGCCTCCAAAACTGGTTGCAATATTCCAACTGGGGTCGCACCAGCGCCGCACACAACGGAAAAATAACGCGCGAAGTCCTACTTGCAACCGAACGAAAAAAAATGAATCCTAGCATCCTGTTACATACGGCCATCGTCGCTTGCGCGTGCGAGGAACACTTGAGGTCTTCGTCGATAGAAAATCTTTGGTCTTTCTCTCCGTTTGCCTCCCACCAGTGTATCCTCGCCAAACGCGTCGA